AAAATTTTGTTGAGGAGACTTCGCCGCCACAGCCACTGGAAGGAGAAAAACATGGTGACAGAGGCCTATCTGACCTCATGCTAGATGCTGAGTCAACAGGATCTGTTAATGGTGCCCAGAGTAATGTCCAATTATGTTCATCCCCCATTGTGTTCACGGAGTTCCAGCATGAATACAGTAGTGAAGGAGAAACTACCATGTATTCTGCCGAAACTGCTGAAAGTCGTAACTACCCAAGTCCTAGAGAGGGAAAGTTCCAGCAAGTTGGGAGGAGTCAAAGTTGTGTAAATTACAATAGATGGGGGGCAGTGCACAAAAATCCAGTTGCTTGTAGGACAATGCAAGAAAAACAGAGAAGCTTTTGCCGAGGAAGGAACATGTACTCGCAAGGTGCAACATCTCATAGGAGTAATGACTACTACAGCCCCACGGTTTCTTCAATCATGAAGAAGAGGAACAACTTAGTGCAGCAGCCAAACAGGCCCCAGCCAAGTGCAGTCCATTCGTCTCCCAGATGGATGTTTTAACATTTATCAATATATGAAGTTAGTCTTCGTATCTGGTATATTAAAATGGGCTGCCTATACTTTTCACTTGTAATTGCGTATCCTGTAGCTAGTTTGTTGTGACCCAATGTGCAGAACATATAAAATGTCAATAACAAAAATCTTGAGAACCCTTGTTTTTTTTGGGATACAAAAGAGAATTGTTGTTTTAATCAGCAAAAAACTTGTGCAAAGATTGAAACTTTGTGCAGCAGACATTTATGCTTGTGAAGTGAATGAATAGGTGTATAATTCTTTCCATTTTAATCAGTACAATCATCTTACGCTGAACCCGTTCTTTAATAATGGTTCACAAAAACAGCCCAAACAGGTAAACATGTTGTATACAATGAGTCCATGACTTCTGAAATTTCCCGTATATGCACAATGAAATATATACAAAAGTATACGGATTTTTTATTACTACTCCTAATAATATTGACTTTTTATAATGGAATTTCAAATTGATTACATGATTTGTTTTTAGATAGTTCTGCTCGTTTCATTGTTACATCTGTTAAAATGTTCATAACTCACATGTTAATTTGTGTTTCCCTCTTTATCTTTTTAAGATTACTAAGATCAAATTACTATGTGATCGATGGCTTAATAACGTGCGTGTTTGATGTAAATTTATATCAAATAAAATTGATAAAAGTTGATAAATATGATGAAATGTGCGCTTAAAAAGCAAAATAAAAGTTATGGATGAAATAAAATGTATGGTTAAAATGAAGTTTGACTAGGGATGGCAAAAAAACTTGCCGACTCGGGCTCGGCTCAAAAAAAGCTAGAGCCGGGCCCGGCTCAACAGAGCCTCATTTTTTTGGCCGGGCGTTGCTCGGCTCGGCTCGGACCCAAAAAAGCTCGAGCTCGAGCCGAGCCCGAACTTTTTTATATAATTTATAGTATGTATAAACCTTACAAATTTTAAATTTTTTAAGTAAAAATGTAGATTTGACATTAAAAAAAAAATCCGAATGGCTAGGTCCGGGCTCGACTTGGCCTGCTAAGGCTCGGGTCGAAAGCTCGGGCCGAGCCTCATTTTTTTGGCTCGGCTCCCGAGGTTTTTTTTTCGGCTCGTTGACATAGCTAAGTTTGACCAATTTTATTAAATTTTTTTTTTTTTTAATCAAAATGTAGCTATATCAAACAAGCCCGTCTTCTCCTAACTTATTCCAACCAATCTTGAAGTGATATCACGTCCATTTATTGACACGTATTAATGGTTTGAACAACACATGTATCATAAGGGTTGGGTCGAACTTGGCTTGTCTTCTAGCTAGAATCAATATAGTGTAGTTGTTGGGTCTTCCCCTTTTAGAATTTTGTTACTCGTGCATAAGTATAAAATGAATTACACAATATGATGTGAAGAGAAAAGATTGGATGAAAAAGTTGATTGTATTTTAAACTGACAGATAATAGAATGTCATCCTCCTTTTTATCACTTCAATGATAGAATGACGTTACATGCATATAAGCTTCTACATAATGATTTACATACATGTAAGATGTCAAAAGGAGAGTGGAGAATTTATTTATTTTTTATTTGGTTGAAGAAATTTGACACGATCATATTTCATCACATCATGTGTATATAAACCTATTAAGTAGATGAGCACAACCGTGAATGATATTATGAATTAAATGCATCTACTTTATTCCGACTACTATGATTTTCTTAATAAATGTAATAAATTGCAGTTGGTGGTGTAGGGACTGAGTAATGAATGGAGGTTGGCCAACGACCTTGTCCTAGTCTTGTTTTGGTGCATAAATATATGGTAACCCCTCGTTTCTGTGACAGCTAATGACAAAATTTCAAAGGACAATTCCATTTGTACCGAATTTTTTGTACTGAAAAAATGTTACATCCTCTCACGTGTGCGCAGGCCCGTATAATGACTAAATTGATCTTTAATGATATATTTGGTACAACACGACATTCATAAATTTTAATACAATATTTTTTTAATTACTTCCAGCTCAATGTTCTAAACATCGAATCATATTCTGATGAGTATTTTTATTACAATAATGGATAAATTAAACATAGAGTTTTAAGTGGTTCAAGATGGAAATGTTCCTTGACCTAGTATTTCGCTCATCGAGAATTTTCAAGAAGCGAGATGAGACGAATTGAATGTAAAATATCTTCATTTATTATTCTTTAATATTATTTTTAAATATTTTTAGATACTTATAAAGGTAAAACACAATAAATAAAATAGAAAGGAAATTAAACTAGTTGTACACTCAATTTGACACTCTTTGAGGTGTCAAATCAAGGTCATTGATTTGAACAAGTGTCGTTAAAATTAATAGTAAAACTATGTGTCATATCAAAAAGTATGAACAAAGCTGTCAATAATACTGCAAGTGTAGCAAAACTGAAATAAAAATAGAGGGTCGGGGGTACAATCCTTATTTTGAATTGAACTAGCATTATGACAAACACAAATTGGACAAAGCGACTACTCTTGGCATCCAAATAGATCAACCGTACTACATACTTGTTGACATGTTGAATTAATCTACTTTGTCAAAGGAAAATGACAAAAAGGTTGACAGATGTGTGACAGTAGGTGATTGGACAGAAAAATTGATTGTATTTTAAATTGTCTAATAATAGGAAGTCATGTGTTACTATGTAAACAATATCGTAATTTTCTATATCAACAGCCAACAAGCACACTGCAAATCGCCAAAGTATAAAAATGGAAGTTTTTGCTAAAATAAAATAAGCAACTTTTACATCAATTTCGAAGATCATAACCAAAAAATTTCGATGAAATTAACATAAATTATGCTATGGACACAAATTGTTCGTAGCGAAATATAAACAAAAATAGATTAATTGCATGGAACCTGCGTTTTGAAATTTTGAAAAAAAAAAAAAAAAATTGCGTATAATTTTCGGTTCAAAAGTGATTTTCTTTTTCTTGACACACTTATAATCATAAATTGATCACATCAAATTATTACCTGAATGAAGGGATAAGAAAAAGAATAAAGTTATTTATACAATCTTTGTCAACAATTCATGTATTGTTAAGATCCGTGCTGTTGATTCAAAAAATAGTTTTTAAAATGGATTATATAAATTTCTGCTAACTCATGATTGACAATGTAGTATGGTTCTAAGAAAAAAACATGGGGGGTTGAAGAGAATTATTCTTTATTTTGGACTCTGGACTCTTCTCAAATCTCACGATGTAAGGGAGTGTTTTTATAGAGAGTGATGCTACACGTACAAAATGGGGTGTCAATCCCCTCACATGGAGGGGGACCCACTTCGAATAAAATATAATATATCCAAAGTGGTCCCCCTCCATGTGAGGGGGTGGATACAATTATGAACACAGTATTATTTACAAGTAGCATAGTTCTTTTATAAATTTGCTATTTATATTTTTCACTAAAAGTCTTCAGAAGTTTAGTAAGTAGGGAATTTCTTGAAATAATTCTCAATTCGAATACTTAATGATTTGTATAGATTTCTAGGAAGTTTTAAAGATTTTATTGAATATATCAATACTTTTAAAAAATCTTTTAAATTTTAAGTTGAATACACTTAAAACTCTTCACATTCTTAAAAGTCTCGATTGAATAGATGCCTTGATTTTTTAAATTAAACTAAACAATTCAATCTTGGTAATGGATCCAATCCTGATCTCGTAACAATTGCAAGATACGAATCGAATTGGTCATTACTTAAGCCCCTGTTTGGCCCTCATTATTCCAAGTTATAATGAAAGAAGTAATATTTTTTTAGATAATATATGTTTTAAAAAGAAGTTTTTTTTTATTTACGTGTAATATTATTTTATTGAAAAATATGTGGTTGGTAAGAAGAGAGAAAATAAACTATAATTTAATGGAGACCAAACAGAGGCTAAATTATAGAGATACATTATATTTGTTATATAACAATAAATAAAACTCGACTTGTGTCAACCAATGGATCAGTTCCGTAAGGATCGGCTTGAGTCGACCTGTCTCAAATAAACTCTACGTCCCCTATAGTAAATTTCATGAAATATGTAGTTAAAATTAATTATTAACTTTGACTTAAATTTAGATTTTAATTCCCACAAAAAAGAGGCTATGTATCTTGACACCAAACATGTCCTAAAAGATGACAGAAGAATGGAAAATCTACTTTTCTTTCTCAATCTGCATATTTGTTTGTGGTGTCTGTCAAACTACCACGGTCAAACTCCGCTGAACGCCAAGGAAAATCTACTTTTTCTTAGGCTGTCCGGCGGTAAGACCTGTAATTTCCCTAAAATCCAAGCCCAGTTTTATAGCACTTGTAGACCCCACTTCATCTTCCTCGGTCCCATCGACAAACACTAGAAAAAACTCAGACGCACACCAAATTACAGGCCGCGTGAAATACCCGTGGCGTGAAATCTTTGTAAAGTGAGAATTTTGATAATAAAGATCACAATGTTGTTGAGAGGAGGGGCATTTTCGGCATGCAATGCTACCATAAACGAAAACCGGAGCACCTTCGGATTTTCCAATTCAATTCGCCGGAAAAAGGGGAATGGATTCGTGTCGTACAGTTCTTATGGCCGCGCTCGGAAGGCCCAATTGTTAAGGGTTCTAGCTGTGGCCACTGGGGAGGCGAAAATCAAACAGCAGGAGTCGAGCCACGAGCCGACACTGGCGGATCGGCTCCGACTTGGCAGCTTGGCTGAGGACGGCTTGTCGTATAAAGAAAGGTTCATAGTGAGGTGCTATGAGGTTGGAATTAATAAGACTGCAACCGTTGAAACCATTGCCAATCTCTTGCAGGTTTGTGTAATTCAGGGATTGAATTGTAAGAATTGCATTCCAACTGCTGGCAATTTGTCTATACATTTTTATATAATTTATTACATGGGTTTTAGAAGTGGATTTGTTAATGCTCGTGTCTTTTTGTGTAAATTTGCTAAATTAACAAGTTAAAGACTGTAAATTCGTGGAGGTTTGGCTGTGAATTTGTTCCTGTTTGCCTCTTTTTTAAGTATAAAGATTGGAGATTTATGATGCTCTAGTCGTGGATTTGGTAATGCAAGTCTCAGTTTATGTATAAATTTTTATAGCCAAAAGTGTGAATAATTGGCATATTTGGAAAAATTATGAAGGTTTTTTAATTTTATTTTATCCTTTCACAGTATATCTCATTTGACTCTCAATTGTTTTAAAAAGAATTCACAGCCCCCTTATGAAATATTTACCACCTGTATTGTTCAGCATGCCTCTATTTTAAGCATGAAAAAATGGAGCTCTGTATTGTTCAGTATGCCTCTATTTAAGCATAAAAATTGGAGCTTTATGCCGTTTGTGGTGTGGATTTGACGATGCATGCCTGGGGGTGGGGAAGCTACTTGAGTAGCAGGAAGATTTAGATCAAGCGTAAGTATAAATTTTGCAAATTTGTGGGTTTTCTGAAGTTAGTCTGTATTGTTTGGAAGTTTTGGGGGAAAAATAGTTATCTATATTTTAAAAAATTTTGATGACTTAATTTGTGGATGACAAGGAATATTTTACATGGGAATTTACATAGTTAGAAAATAGAAATTTTGGTAGCTATCAAAGTGTGAAAATTGGCAATATGCATTTTTTTCTTCTGAAAAATGTGAATCTGTTTTTAGTTTTAATTCTTCATGAACAATCTCATTTAATTGTTAAACTGATATAAAATAAAGTCAAAATCGAATATCTGTATGTACTCTTGCTTCACTCGTTCTCTGCCTAATAGTTATTGTCTGTTTGCTAATTCTGCTTTGTCAAAATGCTGGTTGCTGCATTCTACTCTTCTGCAAAAATGAGTGATTCATATCTTCTGACGCTTTGGCTTCCTTTACTTGTTGTACTATTCTTCTTTCTCATTTTCATTTTCTTATTCTTCTTCACAATTTTCTCCTTCTTCTTCACAAATTTTGCCTTTGTTGGTATTCTTCGTCTTTTTTCTTTGTTGCCATTTTTTTCTTTATTATTTCATGTCTTCAGATAACTATATGCCATAAAAATGGAAAATCTTATCACATGCTCTGCCAAGAAATTGAGATTCTCTATTCAAACATTATTGTTGATACTTCGGCTATGGTTTTTCCTTGATTTATCTCCCACTATTTTCTTATCAAAATCAACTGTGCAGGAGGTTGGCTGCAACCATGCTCAAAGTGTTGGGTTTTCAACTGATGGATTTGCAACTACACTTACCATGAGAAAATTGCATCTCATATGGGTGACTGCTCGTATGCACGTTGAAATCTATAAATACCCTGCCTGGTAGTGTAAATAGCTCTGACATCCTAATGTTGATTTCAAGTTTTAGAGATGACAATGTTCTTATCAATATATTTCATATACTGATTTGTGAACAGGAGTGACGTGCTTGAAATAGAGACATGGTGCCAAAGTGAAGGAAGGATTGGTACCAGACGTGATTGGATTCTCAAAGATTATGCTACTGGTGAAGTCATTGGAAGGGCTACCAGGTAAATTTTATGTATTAGGGTTAACCAATATGTATCTAAGCTGTGAAGAGTAGAACAATTAAAGAAATATATAATAAAAACTATTTAGCCTGTTCACGTATATGAAGTAGTCATGCATCCACAACTTTCTAAACTTACACTGGACAGTGGACAGATGCATGTAGAACTATTTAGTCGTGTGAATATTGGCACTGACTGATAAATGATTTTCTTCCTTTATGCTGTTGCTGTTAAAATATGTAATATTTGTTGGAAAATCACGCCCCCCCACCCCACCCCCCGCCGCTTGGTTTGAAAAGAACCTTTTCATCATTTGTATTTGGTATATTCCAAAAACCTCTTGCAGATTGACCCGACCGTCCTTATTCTTACTATTGCTAAAAGGACATTCTATGTTCTTTGCTGTCATCTAAACCTAAAACATTTAGAGTCCAAAGCACTCCCATTCTTTAACTTATGATCCCTTTCCGGAACCATATACTAAAACTGTGTCATCAACGAATAACATACAACGAGTAATCTGATCTTGAATATCTCTTGTAAGCTCATTCATGACTAAAGGGCCAACAATGATCGTAAACATTCTTATCTGCAATGGAGTTTGACAAACCCAATATCCACAGGAGAAACGTTGCAGCTCATAAAAATAGATGGAAAAGGAAGTCATCTCACTTGTGTCACCCTGTTACCTATTTTCTTAACTCACCAAACTCTAAAATATAATTTGAAGTTCAGAAGAGATGGTGATTACAAGCTATTCAAGGAAGTAGTATATTATTATGTTTCCTACAAGATGTAATCCCTGTGCCACATAATAACTTCAGACACTTCGAATCTCCAGAGGGAAGAATTGAAAGCTTGCTGGTCTCATGTGGGAATTTCAAGATCTAAAATCTGGAAAGGTTCTTAGACTTGGTAGTAAACAGTGTTAAGCATATATAATGTGAACAATTCAGACAAACTATGTAAACACCGCTGTACATTTCTCAGGAATTGGCATGTGATAGTAACTTTGATGTGTAAGTGTGGACACGAATAGTTTGAGTACTATATTCATTTTCTACAACAGATGGAGGGCTAATGATCTTGATTTTGCTATTTGAAGATGTGCCGATTTGAAACATAACATGTTATGCTTTCCTCTGTTAAGCCCATCTATGAGGGCTGTACTTATTGCATTAATCTTAGAATTCTCATGTAATTGTTCAATCTTTTCTTCCGTACTTCCAAATGAATCACCTTTACAACTTCTCATTGCAGCAAGTGGGTGATGATGAACCAAGACACGAGGCGTCTTCAGAAAGTTACTGATGATGTTCGTGATGAATATCTAATTTATTGTCCCAAAACACTTAGGTTGGTATTTTGTTTACTATTAGGCTTTTTCACCTAGTGATTGAAACAATAATGTCCTTTGTTCTAAAGAAATGACATAATTTTCTTTTTTTGATTTTCTTTACTTTTTGGAAGATGATGATATGGCTACTCCTGCTGCTTTTTGTCCAATTTCTCATGGAGTCAAATTCTCATCAGTAATGGTTTAGTTTGTAGGGGATTTTTGGAATCGTGACCTGTGTACAGTTTGTTGAATTTGCTTCTCTGTAGCTGCATCTATCTTGTGGTAATGCACATCAAGAGATTTTCTTGGGGCTATTGCCATAGTGCATTTTGCATTCATCATTTAAGTTAGTTCTCATTGTTCAGATTATCAGGATATCTTTCTTCCCAAAATGTGTTTTACTTGATACTGGAGTTGAATTTCGCTTTTAGGAGTATTTTTGTTTTTCTTTTTTGTTACTTTGACTCTTCTAAATGCATGAAGTATCTGTGGCGGACTCTTGGAACTTGAAACTTGAACCATGAACACATCTCTGATATTTTTCACTGATCAATACAAATTTAGAAATAAAAGCATGTCAACGATGTCGTATTTGTTCTACAACTATTTCGACTAAAGTTGAATGTCCAATTTGAATAGTGTGGATTACATTGGAAATCATTTTAACGTGAAAACCAGCAAATGAGTTCAAATGATTTTCTGTATTCTACATTGATTTCAATGCGTTTATTTTTGCTCTACGAATGGCTTTGTTACCCTACTATACTTCCTTGTCCTAAAATGAGACCTTTTTGTGCATCCTACAATCTTAACATGTACTTTTACCACTGGCTTGTTGTGGATGCCAGATTAGCATTTCCTGAAAAGAATAATGCTAGCCTGAAGAAAATAGCGAAACTAGAGGACCCTGTGCAGTACTCTAAAATTGGGCTTGTGGTAAGATCAATTTGTTTTCATGTATGGCAGAGCTTCACTTTGAAGTACTTATCAATTTTTATTAATTTGCAGCCAAGACGAGCTGATCTGGACATGAACCAGCATGTAAACAATGTCACATACATTGGATGGGTCCTGGAGGTTCGTAAAACTTCGTCAGTGCATCTTTAACTGTGTTCTTGCATCGAGTTATCATCACTTGGATATGCATAGAAGTATAGTTGTAATGTAACTAGATCTAACGAGTTAGAAACTGGGAATGAATCAATTTATTTATTTATTTTTTCCCATTTTTGATAATTGTTGCAACGTGTTAATTTTGAGAACTAAATATTCTTAATATATTTGCTGAACATCAGTTTCTGAGCTCTTTATAATTCCACATGGATTCGTATGCTATATTGCATCGTAAAAGGAACTTCAATTTTATCGTAACCAATTAGATTCCTATCTTGGTGGCCCCTTTTTTCACCATCCTTGTTTTTCCTTGTTGCTATATCTTGGCTATGGATACATAATTGCTAATCAAGGATTCATTTGTCTAACAGAGTATGCCTCAAGAGATAATCGACACTCACGAACTGCAGACTATTACTTTAGATTACAGACGTGAATGTCAGCAGGATGATGTGGTTGATTCCTTGACAAGTCCTGAGTCAATAGTGGACAACGCAATTTTAGAGCTCAAGGGAATTAATGGATCTGCTACTGGTATGAAAGATGAAAAGGACTGCCTTCAGTTTCTACATCTGTTGAGATTATCCGATGGCTCTGAAATTAATCGTGGGCGCACAGAGTGGAGAAAGAAACCTGCAAAAAGACGAGCTTTGTAACTAGCTCTACTCTATACATCTTTTAGCAGTCTAATCTTATCATCTGGAAACATTTTCCCTTTCTGTTTCTTCTCGTTTCTTGTTTTTGTACTTTCTTGGGTGCTCCTGGTGGATTTTGCTTGAAATTAAAGTTCTCACATTTGGAACAAGAGGATTAATTTCAGTGACCTTAAATTGTGCATGTAGTTTGTACCGAGTTAAGGAAGTTTATCATTGGATCTCCTTAAAATTCTTTCTCCAAGTGGTTCTAATCTCAATATATGTAAATACTGGTGTTTGAAGTATTTTCTGACGGTCCAACAGCAAATCAAGCTGGAACTCCTTGTCTTATCCCTAATGAGACTAATGGCTCCGGTCTCGACTGTATCCCCTCGACTTGAGGCCATGCAAAAGAGTGAAGACGAGCTCAGCCGGAGTTGAAATGCGAGCAAGTAGTTGAAAACTATGGTCTCATTCGACATTCATCATCATCTCGTTCTCATTATAGTTCTTGTACTACTAATGGGCTTGAAATGCTTGAGATTCGAGCAAGTGCATTCACATACACAATCGGTTCCACGATTAATGACGAAACACTATGTAAAAAAAATTAAGAAATGTTTTCTACTTTACTTAAACAGATGAATGACATAAAGTGAAAAATTGAGAAGTATTTTCATACCAGAATTAACTTAAAAGTTCATAAAAAAACCTGTAGAATATTATCAGGCTACATTACTGTGCAACCATTGGGATTTTCATCACTGAAGTAGCCATAGTATGGCTGCGAATGATAATACGGGGACGGTGGTGGTGGTCCATGATGGTGATGGTAATCTGGTGGAGGAAGACCAAGCCTCGGTGGTGGCCCTGGAAGAGCATGGTGGTGATATGGTGGAGGAAGACCAAGCCTCCGTGGCGGCCCTGGAAGACTATGGTGGTGATCTGATGGAGGAAGAACTCTTAGTGGCGGCCCTGGAAGACCATGGTAGTGATCTGGTGGAGGAACACCAAGCCGTGGAGATGGCAGTGGTGACATGTAGTCATGTGAATGCGGCGGTGCCAGCATATACCTGGACGGTTGATGGCCCGACGGACCATATTTATAAGGATTATCATAGTAATCATCATTATATCCACCAAAGTTAGCCCTCCAAGTCCTAGCATTTGTATATTCAACACTTCTCAATCCGTGCACACGCGAAGACCTATCAAGTTCTTCCATGTATGGCCCCATGCGTGGTGGTCCATATCCACGAGGATAAGTCATTTCCTGATGCGGTGGTGGTGGAGGCGGAGGTGGTTCTTTTGGTGCTGCTGGTGGAGGGTTTGAAGAAGGTGGCTTTTCCTTTGGCAGCGGCGGTGGCGGCTTCATTGCGGGAGGCTTTGGACGAATCATGGAGAAATCCATAGTTTGAAAAAAACCTCACAAAAACCCTATGCAAATATTTAGGCTTTTAAATTAAAAAAGTTTGAATCAAAACTTGGAAACAAAATCTTTGCATGAGTTGTAAGAAAAATATTTGTGATTTAAATTATAGCTATGCTATTAATTTATACAAGGAAAGAGTGATTAACCATTAATACATTCTTAGTTTTTACAGCTGCATAAAAAATTTGGTAAGATTGCGTTCAAGAAAAATATTGTTCAGTGTTTTACTTAATTAAGCATAGGCTCGATTGATAATTACCTTGGGATAACTAGGAATAATTTATTTGACATAAATAAAAATTTTTAGAGAGAAATAAAAATGATTCAATCACAAAACGATAAAAAGAGTTCACTCTATTGAAATTTGTTTCGATGTGAAGTAGTCAAACAACTCTTCGATAACCCACGACTCAAATCATGTTATTAGCTCACATCGTTACAGACAAGTTAGAACTAATCGACGAAGTATTTTCTTAATAAAAAATACAGACATCCATGAATGACAGAATTACAGTTCAAGTAAAAGAAAAAATTAGATCGATAAAGTTCATTATAAAAGCTTCTCTGTCAACCTGATCATGAATGAATTTACAGCTACTGCATCCAAAACTATCCATGATGATTCAAACAGCTCGTGGAAGTACTCAGCTCCGGTATCTTCAGCAGCACTTCTGAAAGCCAAGCCGAATGCATTTCCTTGAACTGCACCTAGCCGTGGCTTCCCACAGACCCCAACTATCAATACCTTCTTTCGCTCGTTAGTGTAGCATACACAGACCAAAGGCTTCATTCTTGCTCCCTTCTCACGTAAAGCATCCATCAGAAAATATCCAAATTTAGTTAAAGCCTGAGGGTGGCATAAGAGTTCAGCATCAGTTGAATCTTCGAGTTTCACCCACCGGAATTTACTTCCACTTCTTATTGATCCTTTCTTGGTTATAGCTGTACTGCCTTGTCTAAGAACTGCTCTTTGTACCTTGATAGCTTGTCGCATTCCCATTTCCAGCTTCTCGAGTTTGCTTAGGGACAAGGCATCATAAGCTACTCCAAACTGCTTCGAACCGGAGGAGCCATCCAATTCTAGAGATGCCTCTAGCAGGGCAGTCACACCATATACCACATCTGCAGCAGAGATTTTTGAGCTATACCCATGAAGTAGCAAAAAACCTCTGTAATAAAAATCTGTAAGCCCAAACTCCGGTAGATATTGTTCAAACATATCCTTCATTCTATGTTTGATCTCTACACTCATATACTGGAACTTCTGTTTGCATTCCTCCCGTGCAAATCCCATTCGAGCTAAAAGAAGCTGCATCTTTTTCAACCCATTGTCACTCCAAGTTTTCAATTTAGTTGCAATGTAGGATGAGCATAGCATCGAATCAAACAAGTTCCATTCTTGCAATAACATCAACCTTGGCTCATCCTCATAAGCTATTCGAGAAGTATCAGGAGCAGTAACCTTTGTGCCATCCTTGAGAGTCACCGAGGTAATAGCATCCAAGTTTCCCGAGCTATTGATGTGCTGCTCGAGCTCCATTACCCCAGCCTGGTACCTTTCATCTGTTGACCTCTCGTGTACAAACTGGTCAGTCAAAGCTACACAAGCCAGCCAAAGCAACTCATTAGTGTTCTTCCTCAATGAATGAGATAGCTCATACATCAAGCACCCTGATGGCTTCCCGTGGAAAGTACCCATGTAATAATATTCTCTTTTCAACTTTCTAAAAAGCTTAACTGGATCGCTCTCATTTTCCTCCGAAAATCTCCTCCTCTTTCGAGTTCCACCCCCACCATCCTCTTCCTCACTATCGCTCTCATCTTCGCTATCTGAATCATCTTCAAACTCATTGTCACTGTTCAAATCACATTCGTTGGCCAAAGAAGACACGTCAAAATCATATACCAAATCAGCTTGGTGCTCATCCTCCTTTGCATAAAGCACAACTACACGATCATTCTGGCTGCTCAAATTATGCAAATGAATCGGCCTATGACTATCAACAACAAAAACACGTGCAGAGGGACCGATTTCAAGATCCCTCCTAAGATCCCTATGGCACCCCCAATTTATCAGCAAAATTGTAATGGGTTCATCCGAGGACGAACTCAAAGAAGGCCCTGCATACTTATGGATTTCCTTGAAACTCGAAACTGGGTAGCAGGCATACCTAACCGAATCGGATTCAAGAACATGGCCTATTATTTTCAAAGCACATAGCGAATCGACATCAGAAGTCGAGGGGAAAATTAGCAAAGGAGTGGAGGAAGCCGAGGCTCGTGCCGATTCGCGTAACCGAGTATAAAATGACTCTATACTTTGCTCCCTGACCATAATTTCTCAAACGGATACCCAAAACTTCACTAAAAATTCAATCTTTTCGCTGAAAAAACAACTGGGCAATCACGAATTGGTGAAACTCCACCTCATCATTCACTCAGATCCAAGCATGGAAGTTTATGGGATTTCAAAAATACCAAAAAAACATGCTATTCTTTCATTGAATTCAGTTTGGATATACTGAAATTGAATAAGATAGTGCAATTAGCGTTTTGAAGAGATACCTGACCCTGTAGTTAGGTACTTGAAGATGAGATTGAGAATTTCTGGGCCCTCTACTTCGGCTCTCCTGCTATTTTCCAATCCAGAGAGAGGGTTTGAATTGAATGAATAATCGGCTTTGTTTTTCTTGAATAGTTTGAAGTTTCAAATGAAATTTTTGAAATTTTTAACGAGCGCCAACATTTGGCGGTGAAATTAAGGTTTCGCATCTGCGAAATAGACGTTTTCGGAAATGCCCCAATTATATAGAATTTTAACCTATATATTACTGTTATTTGTTTGGGCCCCATTTTTTAATAGCGTTTTGTTGAAGATTGCGTGATTAAAAAGTATAGACCGTTTGATTGCAAAGGTTGTAAATAGGTGGAAAGAAAATAAATTTCAGAGAAAATTAATTGTCTAGAACTTATTTTCTAGGAAATTGTTAATTAAGTATATTTGATTGATATAATTTTCCACCCGGAAATTTTTAAAATTTTGGATCTTTTTGTTCACGTTTGGCTTTATTTTACATGGAAATTGTTCGTTAAAATGAATTTATTTTTTTTTACAATTTGTTAAGAAATTTGTTACCATTGCCAAAAAGTTAAAAAAAAAAAAAAAAA